CATCCAGTTAATATATTCTTATTTAATGTCATATAATATTAGTATTGTAGAACTAAATTGTTGCTAAAAAAGACCGTGAAACAAAAAGACCCAAACAACAGGACGTGTGCCTACCGATAACTTATAAACTGACCGATTGGAACAACAGAAAAAAGCTTTAGCTGGTAGATAAAACTTAGGAAAGTTCCAGGTGTTATAATAAATCAGCAGTTTAATTGGATTGATCGCTTCTAATCCATCAATTCTTCGAGATAGTGCTACTGTTGTGGTCCAAAGTATTGCAATTTTGTATTTAAGAATCAAATAAACAGATTGAAAATGAGTGGTCAACCAATTGGTATGTGCTAAAATCACGATTTTTTTTGCTTTTAGTAAAAGTCAATTGATACTAACCTTTGATATAGTTCTTGATCAGGGTACTGGTTTTGTTAAGATTGGTAGAGCAGGTACCAATTTCCCGGATCATACATTCCCATCACTTGTTGGTAGACCGATTTTGAGAGCTGAAGAAAGAAATCTTTTGGTTCCAGACAATGTTGAAATTAAGGATATTATGTGTGGTTCAGAAGCAAGTGAGGTAAGATCTTTATTGCAAATAACTTATCCTATGGAAAATGGTATAATCAAGAATTGGGAAGATATGGAACATTTATGGGATTATGCCTTTTATGAACGAATGAAAATACCAACCCAAGGCGAGAAAATCTTATTAACAGAACCTCCAATGAATCCTTTAAAAAATAGAGAAACTATGTGTGATGTGATGTTTGAAAAATACCAATTTGGTGGAGTTTATGTTGCCATTCAAGCCGTTTTAGCATTATACGCTCAAGGGTTAAGTTCTGGGGTTGTTGTTGATTCTGGGGATGGGGTTACTCATATTGTTCCAGTTTATGAATCCGTTGTTTTAAATCATTTAACCAGAAGATTGGATGTCGCTGGTAGAGATGTTACTAGAAATTTAATAAATCTTTTATTACGTCGTGGTTATGCATTCAATAGAACCGCTGATTTTGAAACTGTTCGTCAAATTAAAGAAAAACTATGTTATGTTTCCTATGATTTAGATTTAGATACAAAACTAGCCCAAGAAACCACTACCTTGGTTGAATCCTATGAATTGCCTGATGGTAGAATCATCAAAGTTGGCTCCGAAAGATTTGAAGCTCCTGAATGTTTATTCCAACCAAACTTAGTTGATGTTGAACAACCTGGGGTCGGTGAAACTTTATTTAATACTATCCAATCCGCAGATGTTGATGTTAGAACTTCTTTGTTCAAAGCAATTGTTTTATCGGGTGGTTCTTCAATGTATCCTGGTTTACCTTCCCGTTTGGAAAAAGAATTAAAACAATTATGGTTAACTAAAGTCTTACGTGGCGATGCATCTAGATTAGATAAATTTAAAGTTAGAATTGAAGATCCCCCAAGAAGAAGACATATGGTTTTCATTGGTGGGGCAGTCTTGGCTAATATTATGTCCGATAAAGAACATATGTGGATTACCAAACAAGAATGGGAAGAACAAGGTCCTCGTGTTTTAGAAAAATTAGGCCCTCGTTAATCATGAAGTTTAAAAAACTAAATCCTTTAGTCTTGGTACTCTATTACCAAAAATGTATAATATAATAGTGAAGATTTATAAAAGTCGATCTTCATACGCAATAAACTATACCTTTAGTTCCTTTTACTCAAAATAGATTGCTACAAAATTTCTAAAAGCTTGGTTATTTTCATATTCTTTTTCTATTGACTATCCGAATTTTCATTTCAGTACTCTCTTTATTTTTTTTTTTCATACTTACAATATTACTTAAAAGAAAATTATGTAGACCTACATAACAAACTAAAAATCGTCTTTTCATTAATGCAATTATCTAAAGTATGCTTGTCTAAAGCAAAAAGAAGTAAAAAAGGAAAGAAAAGTTTTTAATTAGAACAAATCTATATTGTATGGCAAAACTTAAGCATAATGCAAATCTTCAATCTGCTTTAAAACAGTATCAACTAGTTTATCATAGACTTCGTCAGTAATTTGTTTAGTGCCACTTTGATGGTTTTTATATCCAAAATTAACTGCCAGGTGAACAAGATCTCTAACAAATGTTTCACTAACAACTTTTGGATTGAGGAAGTCACTCGTTAAACACTCTTCTATTGTCCATCTATCATTTGGATTTCTCTCTAAACATTTTTGAATTAGCTCAATAGCACTAACGGGAACTTTAATACCACCCAAACCTTTACTTGGGTATTGGATTTTGATTTGAGGGTTCATAATCGCAGTTATTCTTTGTTGAGCGGAATACCCAGCGTATGGAGGTCTTCCATAAATCATTTGGTAGATTATACACCCACAAGACCAAACATCTGATGGCTTACCAACTTTCCAGGTCCTTAATTGTTCACTGGCACTGGCTTCAGGAATCGTTAAAGATTGATTAACTTCCGTTAAAGCTTCGGGTGCCATGTAATTAGGAGTCCCAATTTGTGATTCACGATATATATTTGCAGTATGATCTGGAACTGCATTTGCAATACCGAAATCAATGATCTTTAATATCCCTTTAACAAATAAAAAATTAGCTGGTTTCAAATCGCTGTGGACAATTTCAGCTTCATGAACTGCCTGTACACATTTCAACATTTCGATGGAATGGAACCTGATGAAATTTATATCGAGAAGCTGATTCGAACCTAATTTATTTTGGAAGACATGAGCTAAATCTATATCACCACATTCCATAACAAGGTAAACCGAGGATTCACCAATTGCATGATCAACCAATTTTACAACTCGATCAGCGTTTTTTAACTTAAGTAATAAATCTATTTCTCCCTTGAATCCTTTTATACAAGATTCTTCGAATTGATCAAATGTCACTTTTTTAATTGCATAGAGTTTATTATTGAATAAAGCTTTTACCTTATAGACTTTTGAAGAACCACCTCTCCCTAAAAGTTCTAATTTCTCATACAGATTTCCATTTATTATTATGGATTTTCTTTTCTTTATTTCATCTGGAGGATTGTGAACAACGGAAGAGGGTCCAAAATTAGTTGACTGTGATGACGCAGTAGGAGGTAATTGTTGTGATTCCTGACGAGGTGGTTGGACTTCAATATGTTGTTGGGATGTCGGTGGATTTAATTCATTTACGTGCTCATTAGATGGCCTGGGAGTTTTAGGTTTTCTAAAGGTGTCATTTTCATTGAAGACATTGAACGTATTAACGGGGACATTGTTGAGCGGAACTCTAACATGGTTTTGATTTGAAATAAGAGAATCAGTAGAAAATTGATGTTTCAGCTTATTAGCTTGAACCAAGTTTTCTTTATTTTCGAACACTTTATTATCAAACTTGTTATTTCTTTTATAATCCGAGTATACTGGGAAATCACTATTCTTGGATTGGAAAAGTTCATTCCCCTGACTTCCAGGAACATTTTTATTTAAATTTTCAAATTCAAGATCGATACTTTGAATGGTTTTAGATTTAGATAGTTGATGTTCTAACTCATTAAGTTTTTTCTGTTCTTCCACTCTTGATCTAATTTCTAATTCTTTTTGTTCGGAAAACAAATCTTGACTTGGAGATTCAGATTGAAGTTTTTCTAAAGCTCTTAGAAAACTTTGAGCTGGATGTCCGTTCGACTTATTTGCCAGCGATGCTTTTAAATTAGGTGAAAATCTCGACGAAACTAAAGGAGGGGTTGAAAACTTTTTATCATTTTCAATGTTTTCAATATTTTCGTTTGCTAATACCGGTTTATGGGGCTGATCAGAAGATGAGTTTGATTTTGGAGTCTCTGAAATTTGGGATGCTCTCTTAGGAGGTCCCAAAGATCTAAGTCTTCTTGCTAACCGGGATCTTTTCAAACTTCCATATTGACTTGATGACCCAGAGGAAGTAGGTCTAGGAGCAGTTGAAGATCTTGAAGTAGCAGGAGTAGTTGTGGAAGTCATAGGTTGCAGAGATTTATTTGAATTTTCCAAAGAAGCATCTAGTAAATCATCATTATCTTCAGTAGTTGTATTATGTGTATGATTATTAGTAAAATTATTGTTAGACATATTAAATGAATTATGCAAAGATGTATTGTAGTTATGATTGCTGTTGAGCTGGATATCATTGATTGAGTTATGAGACACATTGTCTATGCTTGAATGACGAGATTTATCTGATTGATGATGTAAACTATGATTAGAATTATTATTACTATTATGATTTGACAAAAAATGAGATGACGTTATTGGAGAAGATGAATGAGAATCCTTAAAATGCACTGATAATTTATTCTTCAAATTATTTTTAGAATGGTTATTTTCTGGGAAATCGATTTCATAAATCCCTGTTATTTGTGATGGTGTTCTATTAAATTTATGATCATTTGATAGCTTTTGTTGCTTCGAAATATGTTGACTATTTGGACTAGACTTATCACTCAACAACGCCACACTATAAGCACTCAACGCTGGCGGCATAAAAGTATCATCATCATCCATCAAATGATGTTTTTTATGATAATCATTCACTGTATTTCCTGGTCCATCACGTAAACCTTTCGGCGGCGTTAAATTGTTAATATGCATTCTTCAACTCATGAATAAGATCGTTTAATATGGTTATCATATGAATGATTTAGAAATGATGTAAATGACTAATTAAATTGGTAGTCTTATAAGGAATTCAATTATATATTCAAATACAGTTCCGCTTTCTCAGTAATGTTAATGTCAAACAATGGAATGCGGTCGAGGATATAGTACACCCAATGCTAGATGTTAGATCAATTAGATATCGTTTTTCCAAAGAAGAACTGAAAGATAGTATCGTTGTTTTGATTATTGAACTTCTCTTCTCTCAGAAATCCAAAAATTAGAAAGGATTCCAAAACAAAAACAACCGCGTTCACTTTTTTTTTTTGTAAACAGATTTCGCTCTCACAGAAACCACATCCGTACACCCATACTTTGAAAGTAAATAAAAAAAATTAAATGCTCCACGGCAGGTTCGAACTGTCGACCTTCAGATTGCACAAGAAATACTTCTTATGAGACTGACGCTCTGCCTACTGAGCTAGTGGAGCACTTAATGGGACACGATTTCTATCGACATCTACAGGTGGGGTCGATATTGGGCCAAGATTTAAAGAAATGATTTTAGGAAAGCGCTTTCAAATGCCCTTCAAATCACTCGCTATAGACTTTAACTGTTGTAATAGGAAATATTTATTGTGGTTTTGAAAATGAGGTACATTGAATTAGTTGAAAAAGAAAGTTATGATAAGAAATGTTCTTTTCAATATGTATTTCAAAGTACACATGCCCTCGAAAAGACCGTGTCAGGACAGGATTAAAATTGGTAAGGAGATACAAGAGGATCAAAGGTTATCAAGTCTCAAATGCTAATAGTTATTATCATATAAGTTGGAAAGTGTTTTGATCAAATTTTTGCAAAATTTGCTATTAAAACCTACAATAACAGAGTAAAAATCATGTTTTATATCATAAGCAATGCGCTTGCTCATAAGTAGTTATTAGGGGTAAGGATTAGAATGATACACTTTGGTTTTAACGACATATACAGTTCTAAACCTACAGATTCAGGATTCAAAGCCCTTAAAATATCGAAAAATGAAAAGTAACCTCTGCAATTTTCCTTCTCTAACTTTTCACTTCAAAAGCACATTTGCTAATGTTTATCTCTATGTCTGGTTGTCTTTTTCATTGGTCTCTTACATTGTAGACTGCCTAGCATGAGTGGTCTGACACAGTAGTAAAAACATTTCTGCTGCAAAAACCTCGCCGCAAACAAGAGCAGTTTATCTATGGCACAAGTTTGAATCGTATATGGTCGCTACTTTTTGAATAAGAACATTCTTTACTCATCAAAAGGTTAACTGATAAAAGTCTACTACTTCAAGTAATATTGAAAACATTTTTAAATACACAAATACATATCAAAGAAGAGCTAGATTGCATACCAAAGAAGAGCTAGGTTGTAGCCTACTTCTGTTCAGCTAAGATCAACTTATCGAACAGGATCTTTACTCATCATCCAACTTAAGCTTGGAAATCCCATCCCCATTCTGATGTCCATTCAAGCCGTTAGAATGACCATTAGAATGACCATTAGTCTGTCCATTAGAAGATTCACTTTCTGATTTATCCAAGTAAGGCTTCTCGCCCAAGACTGTGATTCTATAATGGTGACGTCTTTCGGTGGTACTACGTAAATAGTCAAGGGTTGCACTATGAACGGCAAGACGATTATCCCAAACAATAACTGATTTTGAATTCAATTTAGAACCACCAATATGATTAGCACGAACTTGGATGTCAAGATTAGTAGCAATATGATGATCCAAGAAATTCAACACCGAGGCAGATTCTTTATCCTTTAAACCCTTGATACCTTGAACAAAGCCTCTGGAAAAGAATAAACTCTTTTCTCCAGTAACTGGATGAGTTCTTACCAAGGGATGCTCAGTATAATAGTCTTCCTTAATTTTTGCAACTGTATTAGTGAGTCTTCCTAAAACGTTTTGAAAATAATTAGAATGGATTGCAGTCAAGCCTTCTAAAAAATTTTGATAAGCAGGTGATAATCTTCTGTAAGCCTCTCTTGTATCAATAAAGACCGTATCACCACCGGAAGGAGGAACCTCCAAAGCAACAAAAAAAGAAAAAGAAGCTGGATATTCTTCAAAAGAGATATCACTGTGCCAGCCAGTAGTATCACCTTTTGAAGAAAACTCTTTATCGTATCTACTCGAGTCTCCACCCTGTCTGTAAGTGACTAATAGCTCCGGATTATTTTCCGCTGAAATACTAATGGGGTGAATGTGTAAAGGGCCAAAATGCTTACCAAAATTGACTGCAAAATCGCCACCTTTATCTCTAAAATCTTGATCTCTAAAAACTACCAACCCTCTTGTTTCCAAGTAAAGGGCCAAGTCATTTTTACCTTGTTCATCCAATTCACTAAGTTGAATACCTTCGACTTCAGTACCAAAGTCTGGAGAGAGATTTCTAGTAGTGACCTTTTTATCTGCTGGAAATAAATTTTTAAAAGTTGGATCACCTAAATGTCCTTTATCATTTTTAGCCCCGTCTTCATTCTTAACATTTTTGTATTTACCTTCTTCGTCTGGTTGATAGTGAGCTAAAAACTCAGGATACTTAACCTTCTTTCTTTCTTCGTCGACATCGGCTCCTAACCCCCTGGTCTTGTTTTTAAGAATCTTTTCAGCAATTGGTGGAATAGATAATTCCGTTCCCTTGATATGATAATAACTCATTTTCCTTTTAATTTGATAGAAAATTCACTCTTAACACTTAAAACTCTACTCCTTTTAAACTATTCAAAACCAGAGTACCTTGGGCCACGATTAACGGTGGCCCTTGTATACTTTGCAATCGGTTCCACAGTTTTTATCAACACAGTTGCGAAATATCAACTGCGTAAAAAAATCGTAATTTCAATACATAGTTTTATTTTAGTGCCTTATCAAAAATTACCCCAAGGGAAAAGGCTTGTACTGGAATGGGATGCAGGTTTGACTAAAACCGGTCGAACAGAAGCGATTTATTGGTTGGATATTGATTTACAGGTACGAACAGGACGTTTCATTTGTAAAAATGATTTAATTGTGCAATTAAACACCTTAATAGCGTTATATAATTTATAAGTATTTAAAATTTAATTCTATTGAATAGTTTATATGAGCCCGAACCATGCAATCACAGAACATCGGTTATTTGAGACGATATAGAATCGGATGCCTTAGAAACCACCTGTCAAATCTCTAATTTTGTCGACTTCCTCTTGCAATGCTTTCAAATCATCCAATATATTGGCAGTGCTATCATTTCTGGATTGCTCATGATTGGAATAAGGATTATTCAGATTTGAGACCGGCATTTGTTGATCTGGACTATTCACCGTTACTTTTGGAGGTAACGGTGGTGCAGGGGAAACTGATCTACCGGCGCCTCTACGTCTTGATGGAGGAGGAGGAGGAGGCGTCGGCTTTTCGGCGGCTTCTTGCAATGGGGACGAGCTTTGTAACGGTGATCTTGGAGGTACAGGTGGACCACTTGAGTTCGGAATTGAAAGCTTATTACTCGATAGTGGCGATGATACTCTAGGTGTAGGGGTAGATATTGATCTAGTTCTTCTCATATTGGGGACTGGAGGTGGAGGTAATGGTCTATTATTATTATTATAAGAAGGTGATCTTGAAGGAGAACCTTCATCGGTGACTTTCGAATTTTGAAGGGTATTACTCATTGTATTGCCGGTCATTTGATCTGTGAAAGCCAGAAGACTGATTTTTGGTTGGTTTTGATCATTACCTTTATCATCAGGCGTTGAAGGTGCAAACATCTTGGCCATATCGATTGGACCCGTGAAATTCGGTTTGAGAGGAGAAGAATCATTTTGATCAGTATTACTAGAATATTCATTTACATTACCTGAAATGTATTGAGACATTTGGGCGGGACCCGTCATATTTGGCTTCAAAAGTTGCTCTCCTTGCCTAGAATCGTTTAGCGAATTATAGTGTTGAGTCATTTGATTTGGACCGGTCATGTTAGGTTTTAAATATTGATTTGGAGTGTTATCCAAATTAATGTTGGCTGGTACACCGTCTATCGAAGCAGTGTCAACAGAATGAACATTTTGGAAATGATTAATTTGGGATTCCATATCTCTAAGAATTTGTTTTTCTTCTTCATCAGGAGATGAAACTCTATTTATATTTGATTGTCTAATATTTTGACCACCATTTTCGGAATTTGAGAGAGTTTGAAGCAATTGATCCATTGGTAGAGAATAATCAATAGACTGAGATGAAGGATCTGGTGATGGGATTGGAGAATTTGCAGAAGTCCTTATATCGGTAACTATTTGATCTGAGAATTTGACTGATTTTAATTTTTTTGATTTCTTTTTTTTACCTTCTCCTGGTCTTTGACCAGTTAACATGAATTGTGTAAAACTGTCTAGGTCAAGTGGTTTTTTCTCATTAGCTTGATTGTTTTCTGTATTAAATTGTACATTATCGTCATCATCATCGTAATCATTATCATCGTTTTGTCTCTTTTTTGAAAGAATTGATGGAGGGGTTGGAACTGGAGCTTGTACTTTAATAAGTCTTCTTGAAGGATCTAATCCTTGTAGAACATGACTAACTAATCTTAATAATGCAAAAAATTCTCCAATATTAATCGAATTTAAAATTTTATGAAAAATTTTGTTGAGCTTTTCCTTAGATTCGGAAGGTAATTTAAAATTATTTAGAAACTGATAAACATCATTCATACAAACGGTTCGACTATTTGTCTTTGCTAATATATCACTATACCATCTCATATAAGTCTTGGTTTCTTCCAATGTCAATTCCTGTGCTGTCAATGAAAGGGGTATACTTGAATCATCTTCAATTTGCACATTTGAATGTCCATTGACCTGATTGTTGCTCGAATGATTGTTTGTTTCAGTATATGATTTTGATTTTGGTAAGTGATCAGCCAGCGAATTAGCAAAATAATAGTTATTCCCTGATCCACCGTTGTTAGAGCTATTAGTACTCAATTCTGAATTTGAATTAGAAAACCCAAATGAGACTGGTGGTGGTGCCGGACTACCAGCTCCACTATTATTTGATGGTATATTCAACCAATCAAATCCTGATCCATTCATCGTTGGCCCTCTTTTCCGTATATTGCAGTCTTCACAAGCTAATGAATGCGGTGTCGTTGTAGTCTGTGATGTTTTCTAGCTAGTAACAGCCAACTTTCACAGATATACCTGAAAGATATACAACTTGAAAGAAATTGTTTTTTAAAAAGACTCCTATAAGAACCCACTTAAATATTGAAAAAAAAGTTATAGGAGTATTCTATGTATCAAGCAGACTTATCTTGAACCAAATGAGCTTTTGATCATATACTGAAAACCTGTCAATGGTATATAGAAATGTCCGTTGTCGAAATTGTTAGCATGATTCGAACAATCTTTTTTTTTTCTTCCGTTTAGTTTTTTCCAACTAAACGAAGGAGAAAAAAATGTAAGTGCGCT